TTATGAAAATGGTGTCTCAATACACAAACGTAAAAACAATATATAGATTTATATATGAAATCAAATAAAGGGAATCATGAAAACTAAAATTATAAATTATGAAGGGATATTTTCAAACAAATCATGAAAAACATGAAAATTGAAAATCACATAAACATTCAAACACGAATCATGATTAAGAATTTTTAAAAGCACAATAGTATGGAAAACATTTAGGCAAATTTGTAAACTTTGTTTTAAACTTTTCTTCAGTAATTCAAAGTGTTGAGAATAGAGGGGTAGATATATATTCTTAAAACAAAGTCCAAACCAGAGAAAATCCCCCTAAAAACAACAAAAATCCTTGAAAATCAGAAAATCTAGAAACAGTGTTGTCGGTCGACTGATAAACAGTATCAGTCGACCGATGAGTTGATCGTTGATGACAGCTCAAACTTCATCGGTCGATTGATGAAATCATCAGTCGACTGATGACCTGTTTCGGTCGACTGATGGTTCATCAGTCGACTGAGTAGAAATAAATGGCTTTTCCAGCGTGCTTCTTCGGTCGACTGATGATCCTTATCAGTCGACTGATAACGTGCATAGGGACATTAATGGACAGTAAAAATAGACTTTGAAACCCTTTTAAAAATATCAAATATATTCCAAAAAATGTAAAATTTAGGGAAATGATTATTTTGATGAAAATGAACATGTTAGAAAAGAAAATTGTCAAATATCATTTTTTGTTTATGAGAACTTATCATTTTGCAAAATCTCAAAAATACGGGTTCGTTTAAAATACTTGATTTTTTACAAAATGATTTTAACCAAATTTTGGAATCCATTTTTAATGGATTCGTAGACTTTGAAAATGATATAAATAGTATTGTTTATCTATAATCAAAAAATACAAGATATGAAATAATACTTGTACAAAACAAAAAATAAAAACAAAAAAGAAAAGAAAAGAATTTGTTTTTTGAAATCAAACATATTTTGGTACCCAAACACTCTTGGTACCAAAGAGTTTAGGGACATGACCCCTATCACTCAAACTCAATGCCCTTGGGTTATGATCCTATTTGGGCGCATTTTGTGCACGGATATGGTTAAAACAATAAGTGTGCAAATGACCCTTTCGGTTGCAACATATGCAATAAAAAGGATGAAATGATATATGTTGACCTTGTGTTAGTGCACGGGAATCATTTGCAAATTTAGATGGTTCTTTGAAAGCATTTTACAAACGAGAAACTCTTTTTAAATCAAAATAAAATTTGGTCAAATGACCAAATCTACCATAATAATCACATTTGTACACATTTGCATGCTTATGATGAACTTTATG